TGGTACACCAAGGATTTGGCTTGGGGGTGTGGGGGGCTAACACATTTTTTCCCAATTTTGTTTTAAAGTTTAAATTTTTTCAAGAAACATTGCCCAGAATTGTTGGCTGCATAAAATATTTTTTTGGGAGGGGATGGACTATTTTGACGTTGGTGAAAAATAGGCCACATATATATCACCACGGTCAAATGGGGACAAAAAAAAACTTGACAAATTTTTTTTTTTAACATTGACAACCTTTAAAGCCCCTCGAGGCCCCCCTCCCCTCCGGGTGCGCCACTGATTATAAGTTATCCCACGAGCGCGCTTGTAACACGGAATAATGCAGTGCATCTGTGTCCCAATGCCACTGGCCCAATAACACACGACGCACTACACATAATACATGTACATTCAATATGTGGGGTACAATATAGTCGTGCAATATTATATAAATATCACACTGTTGTTGCTATGGATAGACTGATCATGATCAAAGATTCCAGTTTGCTTGAAGATAATACTCAATATTGTAATCAAAGTTACCTTACTCATTCAAGACTGTATTCACCGCGCTTCTTGAAATTTAATGACGCTCACAGACTTGGAATGAGCCTCTGTATTGATGACGTCACACTTTGTTTACGTGTACTAGATGTGAGTCTGCTGTACTGGGTGCGGGTAGAAAGCATAGAGCTGTTGCATACCCTGAACAGTCACTGCTGATGAGAATCGACTCTCAAGTAATTCTCTGCACTGTTGCATTTCACTCGTGTCCACAAAATCAAACTTTTTTCTGGAGTATTCATTTTAGCCCACAAATACAGCTGCTTGAGCATTCACGATTTGGTCTTCATAGGGCCTCTGAAGACTGGCTTTTGCGGCCAAACGCTTTATAATTCCACCCAATCCATCACAGGTCCTCTCCCATGTGATGTGGCAAAGACATGCCACTCAGCATCCGATGAAAAATCGTCCTTGTGACAGGTCAAGTTTGCAAAGTTGTGTGTATTCATTGCTCATCAGGACCTACAAGCACAGCAATTTTTATCAAAATCTGAAGACATGAGGTAAAATAGTGCATTGGTCTGACATGGAATGGCCCAATATCATCAGAGACTTTAGGGACTTGACTAGGAGAAGGTGATCCTGTAGCTGAAGAGGTTTGTTCTGAACTTGATGAGGAAATACAGCTGCTGAGCTGAGCTGCTGTTGGAATAGTTTACAAACCGCCTTGTTTTAATACAAATGAATTTGTTGATTTTTTTTGACACTATCCTGGCAAACATAAACAAGGAAAATAAAATTTCCTTCATCATGGGCGATTTTAACATTGATTTGTTGAACTACAACAGCCATAATCCAACTCAGAATTTTGTTAATTCTCTTTTTAGCAATTCATATTTACCGCTGATAGACAGACCAACTCGCATAACGTCAACAACTGCTACCTTAATAGATAATATTATATCAAACAGTACTGGACGTACAGAAAGCGGCATCCTGTTCAATGACGTTTCTGACCACTTACCAATTTATCAGATATCTTCCTTTAATATTAGAGGAACTGATAAACAAAATGCAGGTCGTTTATACAGACACATTACAGCAGATAGATTGGAAAGGTTCAAAATCGATTTAAACAACGCAAATTGGAATATCACTTGTACGGATAATCCTAATCATATTTTTGATAATTTTCATTCGGACTTTTTAAAGATATTTCAAGATAACTTTCCCCTAAAGAAAACCAAGCCCTCTAAGAAACTCAAATTATGGATGACGGATGGAATCTTGAATTCAATTAATCATAAAAATAAACTATACAAAAAATATTTTAAAAATCCTACTAGTAACTATTTTGACAAATACAAGATTTTCCGTAACAAGTTAAATGCCATCATCAAGATTACCAAAGCAAAATTTTATAAAGATAAGTTTGAAAAAGTAAAAAGTAATGCTAAAAAAACATGGTGTATAATTAACTCATTATTAAACAAAAATAATCATAAAAAGTACCCTTCTGAATTCAATATACGTGGAAACCATACAAATAACACCAAAGATATTTCAAATGCTTTTAATGACTACTTTACTCAAATAGGCCCTTCTCTCCATCGAAATCTTCCTCAAGCAAATGCTAGTTATGAGAATTACTTGACTGATCCTAACGAAAATTCCATTTTCTTTAATCCAATAACAAAAACAGAAATTCATGAAATTGTTTCCAAATTTAAAAACAATAAGTCTCCTGGCTTGGATGGTGTCAAACCAGGGTTAATCAAATCTGTCATAACCAATATAAGTGATCCCCTGTGTCACATTTTTAATTTATCTCTATCTAAAGGGGTTTTCCCAGATAAATTGAAAATTGCCAAAGTCACTCCTATATTTAAAAAAGAAAACCCCGCTGAGCTTGGTAACTATAGACCAATTTCGGTACTATCATGTTTTTCCAAGATTCTTGAAAGACTTGTGTACAATAGGACAGTAGCATTTCTAGACAAATATAACATCATTTCTGATAACCAATATGGTTTTCGATCTAATTTCTCCACTTCAGTGGCACTTATTGACCTAGCAGATAAAGTAGTCCAAACGTTTGAGGAGAATGCTTTTTCAATCGGTATATTCTTAGATTTATCAAAAGCATTTGATACTATAAACCATGATATTCTTCTTCATTAATTAAATGTCTATGGTATCCGTGGGGTTGCCCATGATTGGTTTGCGAGCTATTTGAATAATCGTAAACAGTGTACAACTTTTAAAGCTCTCTGTTGGGACCTTTGTTATTTCTACTCTATATTAATGATATTTCAAAGACATCTAACTTATTATCCTTTATATTATATGCTGATGACACTAGTTTATTCTATTGTAACAAAGATCTTATTACCCTGTATAATATTGTCAATAATGAACTGGTCAGTATCTGTGATTGGTTAAAAGCTAACCGCTTAACTCTTAATTCATCTAAATGTAATTATATGATCTTCAGTAACAGGAAAAAACAGAATAACTCATCAAACTTAAATATTTTAATGGATAGCAAAACTATCAAGAAAGTAGACAAGTTTAGATTTTTAGGTGTAATCATCGATGAAAAATTGACTTGGAAATATCACATCGATGAGATTGTAAGTAAAGTTTCTAAGAGTATTGGAGTTATCAACAGACTAAAACATACTGTTCCCTTTAAGGTATTAAATACTCTCTATAGTTCATTAATACTTCCTTATTTTTCTTACTGTAACATTGTTTGGGGGAATACATTCCGTACGAATTTGGATAAACTAATAAAATTGCAGAAAAGAGTTGTTCAAATTATTACAAATTCACCATATAGGGCCCATAGTCAACCTCTCTTGCGTAAACTAAAATATTTAAGCATAACAAACCTAAATAAATACCAACAAGCTCTATTTATGTACAAGTTTAAAAACAATTTACTGCCCATTTTCTATTCAAACATGTTTGTACTAAACTGCAATTTGCATAACTATAATACTCGTGTGTCTACTAACTTACATTTCCACATACCGCAACATAGAACATCTGCCTTTCAATATAACATTAAATACACCGGACCTAAAATATGGAACAATGTACCATTGTCTCTCAGATGTTTAAGGTCTTATAATATTTTCAAACGCAAACTTAAATTGTATCTTATGTAATGTAATATATTTAATGTTATATGCCTCTGCCATTGGACTCTGTATGCACGATGATCCTACTCGTAGCCCATTATTAATTATTAATATTATTTTTATAACTTTTTCACAACTTTGCTAACTGCTTAGAATTATACATGTGTGTAATTGGTCTTTGTTTTTAATTCTTTTTTTTCTGTTATTATTCGTCTGTTTTGTGTAATGGCATGCCTGATACAAGCTATGCTTTTAAGGTTTTGCCACCTCTAGTGGCCTTTATATGTTTAAGTACTTATATTACTTTTTCATTTTGTCATGAAGAGGAAATAAATGTGATTTGATTTGAACTAGGCCCACAATTTACAGCACAAATGTGCCACCTGAAACCAACGTCTCTACTTTTCAACGATCTGGCTCCTCTTTCTGAGTCTACTATTACTAGAAGTAGAACTTCTACTTCAGCTACAGGAACCTGAACAAAACATTTTGCACGACCTGGTGTGCCCTCAATTTTGAGTATATCTGGGTCCCAACTCTTTAACTGTTTTTGATGTAATGAAGGGCCGCACCTTTAAATTGTTGCACCTCAATGGAACTATCCACCCCAAATTCTTTACCGACACTTTCCTCAAATTTCTTAAGTCAGTTGCTTTCTGCTTCAAGTCTTTCAATTTGTTCCTTCAAATTAGCAATCTTCTCTGAACATGCTGAACTAGTGCAAGGCGTGCCAAAATCTTCCCTAGCCCCCTCTCCTTTTTCCCACAATCTGACGTTTGACAGAGTGAATCTTGCTGCCTACACGGTGCTTGTAAGTTAGTGAATTGTTTTGCTGAAATGACTGAACACACCACATACATGAACTACACAGAAAACCCTCCCTCTCTTCTTTAAGCAAAAATACGACCCTGTAAGTAATCTTTAAAACCGCTGTCGTATGAAATCTACTACTTATACCAGACTTACAAATGCAGAACCTCTCTCTCTTTTTCTGTGGAAGGCATTTCAAAAATATCGCTTTAGATAATGTCGAAAGTATATGACAATCTTGGAAGTTTGTCAATGCTGTGAAGTGAACTAAAGGGCACGCTTTCAACGACGGTCACTATCCTAGAATCTTGACAGTGCATTACTAACGTGACCTGCGCCGTGAGGACAGCACCATACTATTGCAAGAACGGGTATGGACAACGTTGAACAAAAGAGAGCACTAATTGGGTACGGCTACAATGGCAGGTAGTGAAGCGGGCCCCGGACCCCACACCGTAAGGGCTTCACGCTACATGCTTGCATTAGTCCACAAGACTTTTTGTGATTTTGTGTTCTCATGCCTGACATTTAGATTGACTGGTTTATCCAAACTTACAGGCAGTGCGTAGGATCAAGCAGGGTCTCTCACTTCGATTTGCAGAGCAAGTATATGAAGGTAGGACAGTGCAGTTTTATCTTGTGTCATTTACAATATTTTGTGAATGATTATTCATTTTACTTCTGCATAGTGCTTGGATTAAATCATATTTCAATTTAGCAATAGTTTATTACCTCAGCCAAGGAGGTTATGTTTTCATCGGCGTTGGTTTGTTTGTTGGTTTGTCAGTTAATCAAGATAACTCCAAAAGTTATTGACAGATTTTCATGAATTTTGTTTTAGGGGTGGTTCTTGGTACAAAGTACAAATTGATTGGATTTGGGAAGTGATCTGGGTCTGGATCCAGGATTAATTTTTACGATTCTTCACCATGTATGCGAGTATTTCTTTTGGGTGTACTGACAATATGGCAGAAGTTTGCATTCTCTGAGTGCTTTCTAGTTGAAATTGTGTCTTGCAGTTAAAAACTAAATTGTGTATGTTGCCATCAGAGGCGACCATTAAAAATTGCAACAAAAGATAGAAAACAAACAAACAAAAGAAAAAAAAAAAAAACATTAAACATGCATTTAAAAATACATTCATAAATACCTAAGACAGTTTACCCATTCCCATTGGTCGAGAGCCCGTCATATGGCCGGTCTTAAACGGATGATAAAGACATGGCTGGCTGGTCTTAAACACATTTCCAGTGACACATGAAATTTGGACTCCTATGAAATCCAGTGCCTTTTACTGTTTTATTGGTTGAACGTTCACAATCCTCACGTAGGCATGCGTAATACTACCAGTAAGTCAGTATTTCATAGTCCTAAATTCACAACGCACTCACCACAGCTGCATCTGCGCGTCATCGCCCAACACACGCACCAATCTCCGTAAAAGGAGTTGTTTACATCTTACTCGCGAGCTGGACACTCCATTTTATAGCTAGGGAGGTGTTTCGAAAAACAGAAAGTAAAATTGTTGAACAAAATTGTTGGAAATTTTTAATTTTGATTTTTGGACCGAATAGTTTAGATTCTTTTTGCCAAAAGGGTATTTATGAATGGGAATAAATATTGGTCGGTATTAATCACTATGTTTAAGACTGGTTGGAGTCTGGAATGCTGATAATTACCGTCAGCTTCGCTTCTGGTAATCATCAGCATTCCAGACTCCAACCAGTCTTAAATATAGTGGTCTACTTCACTCACTTACCTGTAGAGCCACTACATTTGCATATTCCCCTTACCGGCAGGTTCCATTCGCTAAGAGTTTAACAGCGCCCTCTATAATGCTACCCACACTGCCCTGCGTCAGGAGCGCCATGTTGGCTTCCTCTTTTCTCTTAGCGGCAGGACAGATAAGACATGTTTTACAGTGCCTCCGATAATTGAGTACTGCGTCTTTATCTGTATTCCTATTTCGTCAAGATTTATAATAATAAAAGACAAAGAACACCTTGTTGTGTCGTGTAACAATTCTTCGTGAAGTGAAAGTTAATAAATAAGGAAGAGAAATGTCGCTTCGAAAGGGCGTTGCCCCGAATTCTTCTTCTGTGCGTGGCTCGGCAGACAGTGACGTCTCGCCGTCCCGCCAGACTGGAGACCCTGCAGGTCGGGCAGAGCACGTTAAAGATTTGCCTACCCCGACTGATGCAGTGGGAACTGAACAGAAAGAGGGAACACGGGGCGGCAAGGGTGGTAAGACCAAGGGCAAATCCCAAGCCGCTGCCGTTGTTCGTCCCCAGACTGAAGGAGTGAAGCACAATAAACGGGGAAAACGGTCTCATGTGCAGACCGTAGAACCCGCCATATCTGATACGGTTTCCATGCTCTCTTGTCGTGGGTCGGCAACTCCGTGTGTGAGCATGCCGGCCCCGGCCGTTCTACTACCCGTTGGGCCTGTTTCCGAACCCGGTGTGAGCCATGGACCGGAGCAGGTCGTATCTATTGCGGGAACAAAGTTACCGATCGCCTCGGCGCTGGGCAAACAGCGCGCACTGGGGGGTACATGGGCCTGGTTGACATGGTTTCGTTCGGTGCTCCGTGTGTGAGCACTGGACTGGAAAAGACCGGTGTTCATGCAGGGAAAAAAGTCACCGTTCCCCCTGGCGATGGGCGCTCGACGTTCCAGGTGCGAACATCGGACTGGAACAGACCAGATTTATTGCGTCACCCACTTACGGGACATCATCGACTTCATCATACGTTCCATGTTCGAAACATCGGAGATCAAATCATCTCATTCCCGCTCAAAGAAAAAGTCAAAGAAATCACGCCGATATAGACACCACTATTCTTCGTCGGATTCTGACAAGGATTCGTCCGAAAGCAAATCACCACGGCGTCGACAATTTCGACGCCGTGACACAATTCCTCAAGCCGAATTTCTGCAAGCATTTCACTCAATTTCGGCATCATTATTGGTCCTCACAGGAGCTCGGGGACAGGGGCCAGTGCGTGACCAAGTCGCCCCCAATATTGCCCCAGCATCCAGATCAGTTAATTCACAGTGATGGTATGCAAGATGACCCTCCACAAGCTTTAAGTCATACAGCTTCAGCTGCACCATGCATCAGCATCAATCCATCATCAACCTTCTCTGGATCTGATGCCGAGTCATCGAGGAACAAGAGTACAGTGCATGAAGCACAAGGTGTTGCGGGTTCGGACCCATCCATTCAGGGAAATTCCAACCGTTCCCACACCAAATCTTCTGAAGAAGATAATATGGAGATTCAGCACCTTTCTAACTTCGAGACAGAATTACGACTGGTGCAGAGAGACATGATTCGTGTTCTCAAACTCCCTAAATGTGATGAGACTTCTTAAGTCCCGGAACGTAAGTCATTCAAGCAACGTACGGGCCCAGTTTGCTCAGAGACACATACTCTAAGTTTCTCGACTATTCCTCTGGATCAAATGTGCATAAAACACATCAAGACTGTAATGGAGACCAACAAGTGGAAACCTTACAATAAACAGGCTTCCAAATTCTTTTGGTTCCCAAAAGAGGACTTTGAGTCTTTCCTGTCTGTCCTGTCTATGCCACAATCAGCTAAAGACAAACTAGCAGCTGATGGCGGAGCAACTCCCGTTAAAGGGACATTCATGGACCGGGCCCGAGGAAAACTTGAAGATGTTCTGAAGAAGTTAGATGAGGTGTCTCGTTTAGGACTGCGCTCATCATCCTTCATGCTCCTTCTCACAGAATATCTAGCCTGTGGCTGTGAAGAAGATTCCACAATCCCTGGGGATATGGTGATGGCAGCTTTTCACTGCCTCGACAATACTCTGTGCATTGTCCTCAAACAATCAAACAGAATCTTAACACTTGCCACGTCATCCCGACGAGATAACGTGTTGGATGCATTATATCTACCAACTGAAGGAGCACGCAAGCGCTTGGACGACCTTTCGCTGGCAGGCAACGACTTGTTTGCTGGCAAGTTTCAAGAACTAATGGAGGCAGAGGCTAAACGCATAGAGGCCACCGACAAAATCAATATGCGTAAGCCTACATCAAAAACATCTCAGGAGAACCCCAAAGCACGGAAAGGAAAACCCACTTTCCAGATTCCGGCTCGTCGACCCTTTAAGGCCTTTCGGAACTCACCCCGAGGCCGATTTCAATCCAGTTCGGACAGACAGAGTGCTCGCGCACAACCGACCCAAGCCAACCGTAGACCTCAGACCAGTGGTCAGACGTTCAAACCTCCTCCTCCCCGATACTCTGGGGGATGGCGTAAATGACATTCCAAACCTCCACCAGCCTCCTATTGTAGGACCGGTAGGAGGACGCTTACAAAAATTTGTAAGGTCCTGGTTCCAAACTACAAATGACAGTTGGGTACTCAAAACAATCAGTCAGGGTTATCTCATCCAATTTACAAGTCTCTCCCCCCCCCCCCCCCATTGGACAATTTTGTTTGCCAAACGCCGATCCCTCTCGATCCATCAAAACAAGAGGCATTGGAACAGGAGATAAACTCACTTCGGACAAAAGAAGCAGTCCGGATTGTGTCTCCAGCACAGGGGGTACAGGGGTTTACATCAACCTTTTTCCTAACTCCCAAGAATGAGACCGGCGTTTGGCGACCGATACTAAATTTGAAACTCTCAACAAATTTATTCGCCCCAAATGATTTCGTATGGAAACATTGTGGGTAGTGCTAGACTCCATTCAAGTTCACTCATGGGCAACATCACTGGATCTACAGGACGCGTACTTTCACATTCCGGTACATCCAGATCATTACAAGTACCTCCGGTTTCACTACATGGGAACAACGTACGAGTTCACAGTTCTTCCCTTCGGGTTGTCCACATCCCCACTAGTATTTACAAGAGTAGTGAAGACAATAGAAGCAGCACTTCGCAGGCGGGGGATCATCGTGTTTATGTACCTGGACGACTGACTTATAGTAGACCAGTCGAGGACGGACACGCAAACAGCTGTACAGTTAACCCTGAGTCTGGCTACAGACCTCAGGTTTATAATCAACGAGAAAAAGTTGCATCCAATCCCAACCCAGTCACCAACATTCTTGGGTGCAGTCCTGGATCTCAAACATGGGGTGGCACGCCCAACAATGGACCGCATTCTGAACATCCAGCAGTGCGTACTGCTGTTTTTAGAAAATACATCTGCTCTAGCAAGAGCGTGGCTCAAGCTCCTGGGACTCATGGCCAGTAAGGTGGACCTAGTGCCATTTTGCTGGCTCAGGATGCAACCTATCCAGCTTCATTTACTAATGTTTTTCCGTCCCAAGTATTCATCCACTGCACCATGTGGTGAGTATAACCACAATTCTGTCTCCACACCTGCAGTGGTGGTCAGACCTGACCAACCTACAACAGGGCCTCAATTTCCAGAGGAAACAGCCCTCACTAGTGATACTATTGGATGCTTCCCTACTAGGTTGGGGAGCCACGTTATCACCACACCAAGTATCAGGCACGTGGGGTCCGGAACACCAATCATCTCATATCAACATCCTTGAGATGCAAGCACTGTTCAATGCCCTCCAGCATTTCCGTCAAGCAATTATAGGACAGTCAATCCTAATCAAA